AATTATATTTAATTGGTTGTTTTTCATCAAAAGTATCACTGCAATTTGCCGACATGTTAACAATCACCAAAATATTTGTAGCATTTTCTTGAAATGTAGAATATATGGGATAACTTTAATAGAACAAACCTTTTTTCATATTTTTAATATGAATTTTACAATTATTTTAACAAAACATAAGATTCAAATGAGTTTTTCTTTCTTTCATTTTATCTATATAATAAATGTCACACTTTTTCAGCTTAAACTTTCAATAGCTCATTTCAACTGAAAAAGTTGCTGTTCTCAAATTATAGTGTTTTAAAATAAAATTGTCTGTGTTTTCAACTTTACTCCAAGAGGCTGTAGCCCAACATATCATACCATTTTGGAATCAGGCCAACTCCACGAGCAAATTAAAATCTGGATCTGGACTTGCAATAATGAAATTTTGGTTTTTATTACTGTGATTGTTTTTGGCAATTTTTTATGTGATTTTTTGTGATAAATTTTCTTGTACAATAAGAATTTTCATAATTTGGAAATAAATTTGGGAATAATCAAAATTAATTGCAAAATCCAGCAAAAGTCACCTATGAAATCAAAATAATTGTTTATATAGAAAGTAAGGACCTAGGTACATCAAATTATCTTTAAATTAAGTGGTGGCAGAAGAATTATCATTGAACTTTTAAAAGGTAAGCTTAAATACTTAACTTTTGACTTCTTCTGTAGTTTATTGTTGCCTATCACATCTACTCCTCCCAATGAAGACCATGTTGAAGGCCCAGTCAAGAACCCTCTGCAGGAGTTAGCTGAAATGCTGCCCAGCAGGGTGGCTTTTAAGCTAGTTGATAATAAATTCAGAATATGATGCATTATTGTTTGCTGGGGGTGGGGTCAAAGGTCAGGATACAGGGTGTGATGTGTAAATTGTTGCCATTTTATATTTTTAATTTTCCACATGCATGTTGTTTGTTTCTGATTTTGTTGACTGCACAGTATAAGGAGGTCACAGTTGGGCATTGTCTGTGGGAAAGCATCATGATGCAATTCACTCTACCAGGAATTTGGAACTGACATGTTGTTTGCTTGACATTCATGCTGGAAGCCCCAATAAGAACATTTCAGAGTGTTTGGATGTCAATCTGAGGACAGTACAGATGATTCAGAAAGAGTTGAATGAGTAAAGGTGGTTACAAAGGCGTTTGGTGTGATTGCTAGTGATGCCTCTATTCATCTTTTGGTGAGGGCCTCAGCCTGAAAACAAAGGCCTACATCAAATGCCTTGAGTAGGTAGTGCCACCATTGATCAAGATGGTGGCTGCTGGAAGGCCCTATGTCTGGCAACAGGACTCTGTACCATGCCACACAAACAGGAGAACCCACTCATGGTTGTCAGACAATTTCTGTGACCACATCACACCTTACATCTGATCACCTAAGACTGCAACCAATTTGATGTCTAGAGTGCATTTGAGTGAGAAACCAATAAAACTCCTTGTAATACCAAAGATGAACTGAAAGCAAGGATTATGGAAGCATTCACCAACTTAAACAAGGAGCCTGTCTAGAAGAGTTGTGGGAGATTCTGAAGTCGTCTGGAGTCTGTGGTTGAAGCTGATACCAATCTTATTGAATAAATTGTATTTCAAGATATTTTTGTGTAATTTTGGTAAATATATCTGTTAAAATGAGATGTCAGTGTTATTTTCATTTTTGTGCCATTTAGACAACAATTTATCCATCGCACCCTGTATATATTTATGTTGCATTTTTGAAATTTCTAGAACTAGATAGATTCCCTTAAATTTCTTCTTTTTTTTTCTCTCTGCCTTCAACAATGGAAAAGTTCATTCACTGCCTCAGGATTTCAGTCAAGTCATGATATTCTTGAGATGGTTACAAGCAGTGAATGCTTTTGCTGCTATTAGGGAAAAAAAAGTATTTTCTATTTCTTTCCAGTATTTCAAACATGAATTAATGGTATTATCAAATGATTTCTTCCTTTTTTTCTTTATGTTTTAAATGCTGTATTAAATGTTCATCAGACAAACTAAAATTAACCAAAAATGCTTATGGACATTGTAGATATATAGATATATAGATAGGGTAATGGATATTGGTGCAGAAACTGGAATTGATAAGTTCAAATTCTGGGCTAGTATTCACTTTTGCAGAGCTACCCTTCAGAAAGGTAGCAATCCATCTCTTTTCCCTCCAGCTATTTGTTAAATAGCATGGTAGACTGTACTCTTTAGCCTTGACTGGCAGCTAGCCAACTTCCAACATATAGAGAAGGCAATGGGAAATAATTCCAATATCTTTCCCAAGAATGCATGTCAATTCAGAGATAATAAAGAATCCGTGGACAGTCATGATTACATATAATCCTAAAAGAATAGGGCATTAAAACAATGTTATATAAATGGGTTGCTTTGGGTAAAAAATATTAACTGAAGAGGCTTGTTGAAAAATGTAAGATGTCATAGAAAAGCAGATACTTTTGAATTAGATGTGAGGAAAAGATATCAGTATATGTAGTGGCAGCAAAAGGTGGGGAACCTTACTTCTCTGTAAAAAAAAAAAGTAGCATTTTCTTGTAAAATGTGAAAAAATTAATTTAATTGTTTAATATCTTATACTAAAAATACATTTGAAGATTATATTTATAAGACATACATGCCTGTACTCACATCTGATTTGTGTATAGATATTTACATTTATTTTTGGTTCCTTTGTAAAAGGTAGTTGTGGTCACTTCATATCTTGACCATTGCCTTGGATTATAGATATACTCTGCATTTATTACTAAGTTTTTTACTTGTTACCTTTTGTGAATAGTTCTTGCCTTAAGCCAGAAAAGTAAGTTACTTTTGAACAACTTTTTCTAGGAGGAATGTCAGTACATTAAATTTTTATTATTTTGTTCTGTAAACTTTAGTTTTTACATCAAAAAAGACAAGTGTCAAATAACTCAAATGCTCCAAGTTTGAGAAATGTATATATATTTCTTTTCAAATTTAGGGATTTTTAATAAAATGTGTATAAGACTTATAAAAAATGGCTAACATTTGAAAAAGCCATTTTTGCTAATATTGTTTTTATTATTATTTTTGTTAATATTAATTTAAATTAATTATTATTAATATTAAGTTAATATTAAATTAGAATTTTGTCCAGATAATCTACTGATAATTATCTTTTATTGTGAGAAGCAACAATAAAATGTTTTTGCAATGTGGACATTTGATTTAGCTTTGGTCTACAAAACTGATAGGATTACATACAATGTGAATGGTATTGGAAATGTACCTCTTCACTATACAGCTTCATAAAAGATTACAAAGGAACTATTTCATTCATTCTGCATTGTTGATACCTGACTCATATTGGTGTGTGCATAAGATATTTCATATTTATAATAATGCTAGATCTATCTTCTATGAAAAAACTTGTTTGTGTATGGTTGAATGACCATCTAGTCAATGTTCAGTGAAGGAGAAGTATGTTACAAGTCATTGTTTTGTTAACAGTACTTTTAGTCATCAAGAGGGAATAATTGTGTAAGTTAGGGTCTTTGATTTTGGATGCATAAACAGAAAATGAAAAGACTGTAAGGAACTGAGGGGAGTTGCTATGACAACAAAGATATGTTATTCTGACCATGTGTCTTTGTTTTGATTTCTTTATTGGCTTCTTTTCTGAGCCATTTCTTGCCAGTTGACTTTCTTCATTTGTCATCTGTACCTTTTTCCTTTACTTGCTATACATTTCTTTGTTTCTCTTTCTCTTGCTCTTTCTTTTTTCTTTCTCTTTCATTCCTTCTTTCTTTCAAAGAGAAAGACAGCCATCTCTAACAAGAGACAAGTGTTTATACTGATAATGCTTGATATTAAAGTAGAGAAATGAAGGAATAATTATTAATATTGCTTACACACAAAGAAAATAAAAATATTTAATTAAAAATAAATCCATTAATTCTTTAAAAATTGCTTTGTTTCAGATATGAAATTGAGTAGATATAGGTTTTGAGAAAAAAATTTTTAGTAAGAAAGTGTGCTTTCTATAAAAGGGAAAATAGTACCTTGTTGTACTGTGATGCACTTTATAACTGGGTGGTTAAGCTCCCTAGATCAAACAGTGATTTCTCTTATAAAGAGGGGTACAAGTTTGATTCTTGCTAGAGAGCACATGTTCTTTAAGATTAATGGTGACAGGCTGATAGACATAATACACATTGTTTAAAGTAAAATTAAAAATGGGGCATATATTTCAAATACAAGTACCCACTATAATAACGTTTGAATTAATATATATATATATATATATATATATATATATATATATATATATATATATATATAATTTGGCTCTCTGATCTTAAATTTAAAATGAACTTCTGAAACTGTAATTTTTCATTAAATCTTACATCTAAATCTTTTTAAATCATTATTTTAATAGAAGTAAATTTAACTTTTCAGCATGTTGTTCTAACAACACTCTGATTTGAAACTTAAAGTTACCCAATAAGTATACTTTGTCAAGTGGTGAAAAGCCTAGAAAGTGTGAATTTTGCTTTTCAGTTCTGTTATAATATCTTTAAAAATTTACTTCTATTGTGTACTCATCAACTGTGACAAAATTGATTTGACAAATTAAAATTTACCATAAAAGTTTATGATGATCATTGTTAATGCAGTTTGGCACTCATGTCCATTTTTCAAAAATGCCACTTTGTGAATCAAACTCCTGCATGGGTGTTTCCCCAAATACTATAATCAAGTCTGTTCTTATCCTTATCCTCATAATCTTCACTTCCTATAACTGCCTCTTTCATTCATATCACAAAGCAATCATCATGACTATTTTAACAGTAACCCCCTGTCATGAGTGGGTCTTGAGTTTTGTATTGGGTGAATATTATTATGAAAACATACTCTAATATATGCATGCATAGTCACATGTACATAACCATCATCATTAATTATTATTTCCTCTTTCAGAATGCTGTAAGTATTATGGAAGAGAAAACTGAAGTTTCACCATTGCCTGCTATTCAGGCTGGACTGAAAGTAGCCAACAAAGTGAAGAAGAAACGTGCTGGGAGGAAACATGTAAAACCCAAATATGTTAAGAAACTGAGTTCATTTGAATTGCAGTACTCCAAACTTGGTGAGAACCTTATTCCTGAGAAGAAGACCATCGATTACATTCTTGTCCATCCAGAAGTTCAAGGCAAAGAACAAGAAGAATGCCGCCAGAAATTTGAAAACAAACTGCTCAAAGAAGGATTCCTCATTGACAAGGAAGTATGTGCAGGAAAAGTATTCAAGATTTTGAGCTGCCCTTTTAAAAGGTTGTGCATGGAAGCTGAAAAAGTTAAGCTTCAGTTACCTTTGTCTCAGGCAAGTAATAATTTTACATCAGTTTTACTGTTTCTACTAGATGGGTCAATCTACAACTGGAATCTCTTTTGAATAAAGAACATGTTAGGGTCTGGATGAAATAATTTTTGTTGGGTTACACTTTTAAAGGCTACACTGAACTAAATTATAAAAAACTGGAGAAAGCTGTTAAGTAAGCAGTTCAGAGTCATGCTATATATTTGGTGTGTTATCTTTTTGAGTGAATCTGAACTTCTTTCCATTGGATTGTTTGATCTGCCTTAGTTAAGCACAATGAAAACAGACAGACAGCTGATCAAATGTTCTGAGGGATGAGTCAATTCACACACACACACACACACACACACACACACACACACACACAGCTATGCAAACACTTGTGTGTGTGTGTGTGTGTGTGTGTGTGTGTGTATAAATGTATTGTGTAAAAATCCTATCTGTATTGAGTTAATTATTAATATTTGAATATATTAGCATTTCTTTTTATTTTATTTAAATTTCTGTTGTTTTTTTATCATAACTGATAGCTAACAATTTTAGAAAGCTACAAAAATTATAATAAAAGAAATACTAGTCAAATTTTAATAATTATTGATGACGCTGCATCTAAGAAATTTGAATCAAATTTAACCAATGATAATCTGACTTCTAAGAAAAAAATAGAGTAATTATTAATTTTGACCACATTTTTCTTTTTCATTATTGTTACTTTTTATCACAATGGTTGCATCATTTTTTTCGTCAACCATTAGTTCTGTAACTATAGAATACTGGAAGAATCTTCTCAATAAGAAAGTCCTTCCTAATTGGTAGGTCCCTGAAGGTAGTTGTTAATAACCAGTCCTCTGAGACCTTACCAATCCATATAGGTGTCCCCCAAAGATTGCTTCTTGGACCAACCCTCTTTTTACTCTATGTAAATGACCTGACTAAGAGTATAGTCCAATCATTTATGAATGATGCTGATGATCTATTAAGATAGTTGTGCTAGCACAAAGTCACAAGTCATCGTGACTGAGGGTTTGAGGGTGCTGGTCTTGTTCAGATTGTTGATCACGCTAGATAACACACTTCTCTCACAGAACTTTAACTAAGGTCTGCTCAGCATAATTTCAATATAAAACACAGGTGGGCTCTGTGGGTGTTGAACAAACATGTAAATGTGCCTGAGCAAGCATCTGCAATAGGGATTAGCTAGCACCCTAGTAGACGAGTATCCTCAAATACCATTAATTAATTATATATATTCAATAAAATATGAGAGATTTTAAATCTGGTTCAGTTATCAATCTTGTTTGGCAAAGATTATTGTTATGGTGAAACACACCTATTCTATAGTTAATAGACTCTCCCACCTAATATAAATAGGAGTAGTAAGAGAAACAAGGGTCAGTCGATGTTGGACGACAGTTAGTCGAATACGAAAGTAGTCAGTGACCATAACAAGATTATGCTGTGTAATACCTATTATATCAAGTTCCTAACGTTTTGTACGTCGAACCTATTTAGGACCGATTTAGTACAAATACAAGCCTCTACTGTGAAATAACTCCACAACAATTATAAAAACATCCCATAATAGATATGGTAATTCATCAAACTTTATCAGACAACTGGATTTGAATTTTGATCCAAGCAGCTTTGTGATACACAATTTTCTTTGCTTATTTTTGGGTCCAGTACTTTATCAAAAAGTTTTACATTTAATCAAAACTCTTCCTTGAAGAAAGCATTCATGAAACATTTGCAACTGTCACTTTAATCCAATTTTGATCTTTTTTTGTAGGGAGAACTTGTGAAAGTAAATACCAGTAATTGCTTTGAAAGATTCATTGAAAAATATTTTGTCACTGATGATGAAGGTGAGTTTTAAACATAAAATATGTTTTATAATCATACCAGAAATCTTAGGAACACAAAATGATGTAATATTCAGGCACATCAGTAAAGTCACAACCTAATAAGGATAAAAGCATTTTATACAACAAATATTTACTTTTTAATATAATCTCCTTTGTTATCAATATTGACTATTAACCATAAAGATAGAACATTATACAATGAAATTGTACAATGTATTATTAATTGTTTAAAATCAAGTTTGCATTGTATGTAAATACAATCATCAGATAAAATTTTGTGCAAGATAATGACTTATAAATAATCAATTTATTTACTTTTTCCAATCATTTAACAACTAAATTCTCAACTTCAACTAATGTCATTATGAATTTCTGATGGAGAATTTTTTTTATAGTGTTTCAACATATGAATATATGACATATATATAAATAAATACAGTAAAACTTCAGTTTTATATATTCCCATTTAACATAAATTGGGATTTAATCTGATAAGTCAGAATTAATTTTCTGTTTTTTTTATTGTTATTGTTTGTATTTTTCTTATATTATTTTCATTGCAACACTGATTTACCATTATATCCTTTTTTACATGATGATATTTTCTTGACGCCAATGGTCACATTATATCTGGGTTATACTGTACATGATCCAAGGGGCAGACCATCAATTCCTTAGTATTTAATTCACTTATCATAAAATTTATTACAAAAATTATTTAAAAAAAAATAATCTAGGTTTTGTAAAAGTTTTTTTGTTTAAGAAACTGCCAAGATATATAATATTATTATATATTTATTAATCATTTTTGGCTAAACTTTTTAGAAATTAATAATGAAAATTATCAGTTCTTGTGGAAATTAATGATAAAAATGGTCCAGATAGTTTATTTCAAAACAGGATAACCAAAAATAGTAAAAAGAAAAGGCTATGAGTTTCTAGTTTAATCCTAATCTTCTTAGGCATTTCTACAGATATATTTTAATTTTTTCAGTGGATTTTGTTGGCGCTCCATTTGTCATGGAGAAGATTCACTGGTTCCATTGTTATGAAGATCCATCCCAATTCTTTCGACCAGGCCTCAGGTCATTATTGGTAAGTTGTCAGCCTTTTTCAATGTTTAGAAAATAATTTATTACATGAAAAACTCTCTCTCTTTTTATCTATCTATCTATCTATCTATCTATCTATCTATCTATCTATCTATCTATCCTGCTTAGAGCCACATCATATTGAAACACCAGTTCCTGTACAATCACTGAAATTAAGCAACGTCGAGACTGGTCAGTAACTAGGTATGAGACAGCTTGGAATTATCAGGTGCTGTAAGTTTGAATGTCTGGGTGGTGTAATGGATAACGGCTTGGAATTGTTAATCGGAGAGCTGAGTTCCAATTTCTTTTGAGTTTGTTATATTCACTTACATGCAAATACCCTGGGAAAGGTATGGATCTACTTTTTCTCCCTCTAGCAATGGGTTAATTAGTAAGAATTGTATCACTAAACCATTGTTATTTAAAAAAAATTCTTACAATCTAAAAATATTTTCTGGTTTTAAATAATAATGAATGAATCAATCAGTATCTATATGTGTGTGAGAAGGGGTGCTGCAAAGTTCTTAGCTTACCTCATTTCCCTAAATCTGATTAAATAAGTAAACACTTTTGCAGGGAAAGTTTTTTTCTTGTGTGGTTCAAGATTTTTCAGCAATCCCTCATATATACATTATATATATATATATATATATATATATATATATATATATATAATATATATATGTATGTATGTATGTATAAGAGTCTGTTGGTGGTTCATGTATAAAGACAGGCTGAAGAGTAACCTCTCAGCTGTCAATGTGCTTCATACTAACTTTGAGCAAGTTGCCCTGGATAGAAACAACTGGTGATATTTGTACCAAATATATCATAAATTTTGAAATCAGCTGTATTGACTAACTAAGAGACTAAAGACAATGGCAAAAAGCATCAGCAGATATTCCTGTTGCTATGTCCAGAGATCCTTTGCTGTTGCACAATATGTGGACTTGTATGCAGGTCACTAGCCGGACTGAAATGTCACATACGACACAAATATAAAAACTGAATGAGATTGTCAATTTTGATGTATGAACATATGTCGAAATTGATGGAAGAGTCCATCATATATATATATATATATATATATATATATATATATATATATATATTAACCATTTTACCCCAAAAACTGACATGAAAAATTTAATTGATCTTTTTTTAAATATATTATGACATTCCCTTGGCTTAAGGCTTTAAAAGTATTATGAACGCTGTCAAAATAATTAATAGTATTGGAAAACTTTAGTTATCTAAAAAAAATGTCAATGCTCTAACTAAAATGTAGAACCATACCAAATCAAACATTTTATGAAGACAGGTTATGCATATAAATGTTTCAAATTGAACTTTTTAAGGTTTTAAAAGTAGGTATAAATAGTTTTAACTGATAAGGACAATACAATATTTTCATTCTAATTTCTAGCAAAAACCAAAGAAGGACTCTATCTCTCCCCCTTTCAACAACTTAAAATGATAAACTTTTAGTTATACCCACTTGATATTATTACTATTTCAACTTTTACTTTGTAAGTTGTTTGTATGTGTATTCAATTTACCGAATTACTTTTTGTTTATAGAAACACATAAATTTCAGAGATTAAGTGTGACTGAATTCAACTTGCAAAATAGTTACAAAAGCCATTTTCTTTCGTGAAAGACTGGATTATCTAGACGTTATGGCAACAATGAGAAATTATAAAATCAATATTTTGAGAAAGTATATCAATAACGGATTTACTAACAAAATTGATTTCTCAACAGTTTCTCTTTTTTTTTACTTTTTAACAAGTGCCGAGACATTTAACTGTTTTTCATTGAAATATTTTACAAGAATTTGATTTTTTTTTCATCTAGATAGCCTTTTTTTCTAGGATCTTGAAGCCAATGCTGAAAATCATGGTTTATCCAAGAGGGCATATTTACAAAAGTTGAAATAGACACTCTTCACTTAAGATTCAGTATACTTTTAATTTGAAATGATTCAATGGATAAAAGTTACAAATTTAAAAAAAGATTCTACAAGAAATACAATTTTGTGTTTTACTGCAGAAAGAGTTAAAATTCATTATCTTAAGTTCAGATAATAGATTCTAACTCTTTCCATTTGTTATCCATTAACCTTAACTAAAGTGGAAGTTATCAACAAAATTTCACAACATTTTTACTAAAGGTTAGGACTCTCATTTGATGAAATAGTTTCCAAGCAACTAAGTATACTATAGTAATTAGCTAATGAAAAATTTGCAAGTGTTTTCAATAAAAATGATATCCATGGGATATTTTTAACTTACAAATTGTATGAAATAAAAGAAAGAAAAGTAAAGAATATAATAAAAATGGATGAAATTACCTGTCTATATTTCTGAGATGAAGTATTATGTACATTATTTACATTATTCAGACTATTGTCCTCATCTTTGTCGCCATATTTATTACAATGTTTTGGCTGTTGTATGCTCTAGCCTTCTTCAGGTGGTTGGAATGTTGAACTGAACCTTTTATTTCGCTCACCGGGGTAGACTGTTCTAGTTCCACGTGTCATGTTTAATGGATGTCAGTTATCAGTTATCTCCTGTTAATTTCCCTCTGAAAGTTCTCCACTGCCTTAACTTTTCTCTAAAAAATTTGAAAATAAATTAGTTTCTCCTCAGCACTAAAGTCTTTACCACCACCTCCCAGATAATTGGAGAATGTAATTAGGAAGAAATATAGATGCTGGGATTTATTAAATAAAATACTTGCAATGTAGAAACACTTACTTTAATGAGATATCTCAAAATCTAAATGGTCACATCTATGAACACAAGAGAGACCTACATTGGGACAATTCTTTAAACTCACTCAAAATATGCAGGAACAAGTTTGGCTATAACTTTAATTTTACAAATGCTTTCTTAATTAAAAAAGAACATAATTCTTTATGTTGAAAACACTGAGAAAATCCTGATAAATATTTTAACAACTATAAACAGATGTCAAAAACACTATATTACATCACCAAACTTTATTAAATACATTTTTTAAGAATCTAAAATATGTTTATATACCATAACCGGTGTTGACTTAAAAACGTTCCCAAATCAACATGTAGACAATAATGCCTACTAGATACAGACACAGACACAAACATATACAGACACATTATACATTATCATCTAAATCTTACATAGACAAACTAGAATTATGATACACATACACACATAGATTATGCACACAGGCACTGCTTGATAAGTCAAATGCATGTAAAAACTGCTTAACCAATGATAATCAAAACAACGCAAAAATAAAATACCAAAGTCTTTTTCCATATTTCATTCTAAACATTTCCTATTTATTCTTTATTCTATCATTGTTGGATTCCAATCCATATTCAATCTGTATTTGATCCCAACACACACTCACTCTCTCTCTCACATATATATATATATATATATATATATATATATATATATAAATTAAACATAAGTATGTTATAAGATCACTACAAAATAGCCATTTTGTTTCAACACATTCTGATTAAGTGATGATGATATTGAATATGAAATTTCTATCATTGATTAATGTGATGATATTGAGATTTCACAATTTAGCTTGCTCCACCCAATGATACCAAAAATGAAACTTGGATTGCATAAAACCTTTGTTATTTTTTTATTTCTTATCTTTTAATTTGATTCTTACTTGTGAATCTATATTTTAATTATATTGAGCATTATTTTAATTATATTTTATTATATTTTAATTATATTGATCACTATTTTAATTATATTTTTAATTGTATTTTAATTATATTTTAATTATATTGAGCACTGTTTTTTCTACTTTTGCAGAAATATTTTTTGGGGATAGTGTGACTGGTTCATGTTAGATTTGTAATTTAGATTAATTGAGATATATATATATATATATATATATATATATATATATATATATATATATATATATATATATTTATATAAAAATTGCAAAAAAAAACAATGGATACATTTAAAATCTTAAAATAATTACAAAGCATATCTGCAAAAATCACCATCACGATAAAATGTAGATTTTATTGCAGTTACGATAAATTTGTCTTTGTAATTTACCCCTGAAGATGATCTTGGAAAAGAGAAAAAGTACTTGTGTTAGAAAAAACTAGGGTACCTTCCTTGATGAATTTCATGTTAACATCAAAATATATATATATATATTAATTCAAATGTTATTATAGTGAATATCTTGTATTTTGACATATTAAAAATGTCATATTAAAAATAAATCCATTAATTTTTTAGAAATATATGTGTGAAGGCAACTGGACAGGTGCATGGCTCCCACAGTGACCCTATGACCATGACCTGTCATGAAACTGATAATCATGATGATGAAAACAATTTATTTTATTTGATTTTTTCTTAAATCTTTTTCAGACACATTTAATTCTCATTAGTACAGAATACAGAGATGAAAAAGAACGTTCAGATGAAGGAGACTTACATGGTAAGTTGTATTTCATCTTATTGAGCTATAAAAATATAAAGAAAATGAAGAAAAGAAAAATTGGCATCTATAAGTTATTTTCAGACTATGAACACTGATTCCAATTCTGATAGATGTAAAAATTATGAGTTCAAAATGAATTTCCCGTCAACTTTTGCTTTTTATGTAAATTAAGGACTCAATCAAGTGTTATCTGAAGAAACGTGAAACGCTAACAATTCTAAGGGAGACAATACTTAAAATTTCGAATTACTTCCCTTACATGTTTACGTTTTTTTGCTCTGAAAACATTTTATCGAGATCGAGTTGATCGATAAAAATATTACTCCATATGGTACTACAATAATGTTATTAATAGTAATAACCTTATTGTACAGTATGGAATAAAAATAATTCTGTGGCAGCCTCCATTCTGATGGAATAAGTACTAAAAATATAATCAATCAAACAAAAGAACAAAAGGAATCGTTTTTTTTAACACTTCCATTAACAAAGAGAATGAGCAAATATTTAGGATAGATACAATTTTTAAGTAAGAAATTTGTCAGACTAAAAATATTTTGCACCACCAGAATACTAGTACACATCCGTTTATCTCACGAGATAAAGATAGCGCCCTGTTTGGTTAAAAAAATTCAGTC